TCTCCTCCTCCTCCTCCTCTCTCTCTCTCTCTCTCTCTCTCTCTCTCGATTCGTCATGTTAACGATGACGGTTTTCTATAGCGTTTTCCTTGTCGTCGAGATAGATTCGTAGATTCATATTCAGGTTCGTTATATTGTAATTCACGGATAGGAAATTCTTTATTCGTTCGACTTGTTCTTTGTCTTTTCGAAATTTGTTGGTATTGCGCGCGCGTAAATCGATAGAATTTAATAGATTCGACGATGAAGAAGAAAAAGTAGCGAAATGATGTGAATGATATCTTTTTTCAAGTTAGAATACAGTCGGAATCTTTATCGAAGCGAAGGGAGACAATTTCCAGTAAAATTTAACAACGCGAATTTCAGCCTTCTCTTCTCTCGATTGCAACCCCTTTTCCCGCCGTTTCGCACACCAAGCCCGGACGATTCGCATCGGGAAGATTGCCCGACGAAACCAGACAATTCGCACGAGCGCAATTCCCGCTGCATGCGACCGCCCGGCTGCGCCAATTTTCCACTATTTCCCCGCGTATCCCGCAATTTCCCCCCGGCATAACCAGGGGGGAAACGGGCACCGGAGGTTGTTCGAGGTCCTCGTCATATCCGAGCCGGAAAACGGCTGTCCAGGGCCGTATCGTTCCGCGATGAAGATGACTGCGACGGAAATACGTTCGAATACGTTTAAGAGGCGGTGGAGTGGGGGAGGAAGGCGACAACCGGTGTACACCAGCCTCGTGCGGATACATCTTATGACTATTAAGGTATTCACGGCTCCTCGGAGGACGACCCACTTTGAGATATGACATCTCTCCGGTTTATCCTCTGCAATCACCTTTTCCCCCTCCTCTTCTTTCCCCACTTCTTCTTCAACCACTTTCAACCATCCGCCGTTTTACCACCCTATCTCTCTCTCTCTCTCTCTCTCTCTTTCACCACGCCTGATACTTTTATTTCTGCGTATCTCGGAATCGTGTTCGAGGCCTGTTCCCTCCCTCGCCCCTTATTCCAGCCTGGCTCTCCATATTATTTACAGCCCCGTTTCGCCCGTTATTTCGCAATAACTTGGGAGAAGAGGAGTGGAGCGCGACAGTGTCGCCAAATTGGTGGGAACGCACAGTAACCTGTCGGGCTTCTGACATCTCTGAGTGATGTACCATCGAGTCGAATCGACATCCTATCCCGTATCTAACGTGGACGAGACAATCGATGGGCGATAATAATTTTTGTTGTGTTGATCCCTGCGAACGAGTGCAGGGTAGGATAGGAGGGAATTTTTGAAATTTTCGATCTCTCTAAATTTTTGAAAGAGATCGGAGGAAGAGCACGAGTTGCAGAGCATTCGAAAGTTTATTCCAAGATATCGAGAAAAAATATTTGGGAATGGGAAGCGATGGCTCGGGTGAAATCCCGAATTTTTCACGAAGCTGGAATATAATCCCGCCCACGTGGGAGGATTTTCGCGTCAGTCAAGCGGCCGTACTTCGTTCCCAATTAAAAAACGTCAATTCGTAATTATCGTCCGCGTTACGTTGTTCGAGCGTGTACGGTTAATGGAATTTTTGAGAAGGAGATTACACCTCGTGTTTTATCCAATTTGCCACTGTTGCATGCCACCCGCTAATTCCGCGCTTGCCTTCTCCCATAGACTCTCCCTGACATCGTGCATCCTCCTTCGACCGACACGCTCTTATCACGCTCCGTATCTTTTAGGATAATAAATGCACCATCATCCACGATCGAGGATATTTATATTATTAACCAGTTATTCCGCGTTACGAATTATTCTTCCATAATTTATATTTTTCCCCGAAGAGAGAGAAGGCCGAACGATGTGGCTTGCGACAGAGCTGTCGATAAGAAGCAGGCTCCATTTGTCGGTATAGCCTTTCTAATAACGTTCGACTTTGACTTGGTGTTTAAACAAATAGCCCGGCAACCTAGGGCACGAAGAATAAAATAAATGGTGGTAGGAAGAAGAAAGAAAGGGGCCACGTCGCACGCCCCAACGCGATCCATCAGGCGTCTTCGCTTCGACTGACTCAATAGACTCGAAGATCGATCGAATTCTTACTTGGCTCGGCTTGAATTTAAAGAACACAGCTCCTCCCTCCCCCATCTCCAATTCGTTCTTTCTCAATCTCGATTAAGACGTGCCGATAAATAATTCTATCTCGTATCGAGGATACGAGTTTCATCGGCGAGATTCATTTTGCCGAAGATTAATATAATCTTGCCGACGGATAAATCGAATTTCATCATCACGAGTCTCGCGAGCAATCTTTTCGAATTATAAATAAATCGTGAAATTGTATTTTTGAACAAGTTATCGCATTTTTTGGCGGGGAAAGAAGTATTTGAGAGAAATCGTTAGCACGTTGCTCAAGGTTCCCGAGAAATAAAATGGGCGAAAGAACCGAGAAATAGAAGCCATCTATAGATACAGGCGGAAATACGTGGGCGATGACGACGTTCCCAAGAGAGCTCGATTCATTACCGATCTTGAATAAATGATCGCGCGGCATTGCGAACGGGCGATTGGCGAACTCTCTCTCTCTCTCTATATATATATAGGAGGATACTTTTCGAAAAGTGATTATTCGTTCGACGATGTCCTGTTCACGATGAAATCGACCCCCGAGGACAAGCATCGTGGCCGCCGTGTGTCGCCATGTATCTCCTTTAGTTGCATCATTGATGATGGAACAGAGATCCTCCCCGGGACTCTTCTTTTCCACATTTTCACGTCGATACGGTTTAACCTTCGCCTCGAGTGATTAATCCGTACGCTCACGCGATTCTCGCTTCACCAAATTTACGATTAACTCGAGCTTAAATCGAACCAATTTTTGCTTTGCTGGACAAAAAGAAAAGAGGAATTTTCTATTATTTTCCTTTCTATTATTTTCTATTCAAGTTTTTATTTTAAAAAATTTCAATAGTTGGAAACTAGGATTACGTTACTTTCAATATTCACAAAATTCTTCCATTTCCCTTTGTTCGAAATTTCTAAATTTCCCGTAACACGGATATGATAATTTGTCGAAAGTACTTATAAGGGAAGACGAGTTAAGAGATCGATATGTTGGCGCGTGGATCGCGTTTCCTTACACCACGGGAGAAAAAAAAAAAAAATTCGAATGGAATCAGCCAACCTTTGCCCTGTGCATAATTTCGCGAGCGTATCCTCGCGGACGTATCGACGCCTACCTGGACCACGTAGCAGCCGTAACTCAGTTTCGAAATGGATCGCCTCCGAGGAATACTTTATGCGTGCTACACGTCATTCCGGCTGCATGGATAGGAGGACAAGGATCTTAAGTATTCCGCGCGTCGTTCAGGACGAGGTGCATCTCGAGCTCTCGCACACTTTCGAGCCTGGTTCGCGAGGATGGAGGAGGATCGAGATGGGGGCGGAAATGGGGAAAGTCCAACCCCTGGTTCGCGACCCGTCGACGGGAAGAACTGCGAGCAGCAGGTCTACAAGGAGGATAATCGTATAAGGATGAGTAGAAGCCGTTGGAAGGTGGATGGGTATCAACTTTTGATCCTTCGGTATCTCGTACGATGGCCCCCTTTTCGAGGCGAGAGCGTCTCGCTATTCAAACGGATCTAACTCGATATAAGCGGTGCTCCCCAAGGCACCTTCCACGTCGACAACGACGACGAGGACACCGCCTATCCATCCACCTATACCACCACTATACCTTTCCCTTCAACCGCTCGATTCTTTGGCGAAATAAGAGTATCCTCTCGCTCGATCGGCCAATTCAATTTGCATCCTGGCTTCTATTTACCGCCTACCTTTATTGTCGCTCGGTGTGTCTCTTGTCGTTGAAACGGGTGGGGTGGTCTTCGATTTCGATAAAATACTTCGCTACTAAGATGCACTGCCTCCGATGTCGTCGTTCCGAAAGGGGATTAGTTGAAGGAAAATATCTTTTCTACGGGTATCGGATTGTAAGGTAATTAATTAATTTACATTGAATAATGTAGAATAATATAGAATATATAAAATATATAATATAAAATATTCGCGATAAATTTGTAAAATTTTTAAATTAAAACTACGATTGATTTTTGCGTAAGTGTAAATAATTAATTTTATTAGTATTAGTTTATAGGTATTTAGTTTTTAAAGATAGACGATTTATGGTGGATATTAAACGTTATAGATAAACTAATTACGAATATTTATTAAATTTTATTTTTTTTTTAATTTTAGACTTATATATAAATTTATTGTTCGAGATTGGGGAAACGAAGATTTCTTTTTAACCGATAATCGAACAGGTAAGCATTTAAATTATTAATAGTTGATATTATTTAAATTAATATATTCGATAATTTTTATAATTTAAATAAATTTTTTCAAATAAATCTATTTAATTAATATAATTATTAATATTAAAAAATATAAATTAATACAAGAAAGAAATAAATGTTTAATTGATAAATTTAATAAATTTTAATATTAATTAATTATTCAATTATTATATTATATGAATAAATTAATAAATTAAATTTATTTCGAAATTTATAGATACGCGCGTTATATTTATCGATACGCTCGAAGCGCGCGACCTACGATTGCCCGCTGAGCTACGGTTACCGAGTGGGGATGAGTTAATCCAGTTTTGTTTCGACGCTTGTACTCTTCGGTCGCGTCGTAATTTACGCGTTTGAATTTCGTTTATAATTTAAAATTGTGCACGAATTTTGCATCTAAGGTACGCACGTTTTATTCTTAAGTGTTTACAGTATGTATACGTCTTACTTGTAAACGATTTTCAGTGCTTTTATTCGCGAAGTGATAGTTTTTTACATATTTTTCGTGTTTAAAGTATTATACGTTTGTCGCGAGTGTTTCGATCGAAAGTACGTTTTATTCGAAAGTGTTTCTTCGCGACAGTTTCGTGTTTTTTATGCGCGAGTGATGGTAAATTTCGTCGATTACGATGGATCTATTGATGGATAGAAGGAAAGCGTTGAATAACTGCCACAAACATGCTGTATAAATCTACGTGAAATCTACGAACGGTAAGTTGCATGTTTTTTTGGCACTGGTGGTGGTGATGGTGGTGGTGATGGTATTTTTTAAAGCATTAGTTCGTACAGAAAATATAATAATTTCGAATATTTCGATATTCGTGTGCAATGATATTTGTTGAAATATTATTTATTTCATAATTATACGATATACGAAATTCATTTTTGTCTCGTATTTCGTAACAACGTATTACATTTCGTACGTATTTAATAATTTCAAAATTTTTTACTTTCATTTGTTTGTATTCTTATATCTGCGTCGAATTTCGTGACTCGGATATAAGCTGTTACGGTTTCCTATACGTAAACACAACACATCGCGAGAAAAAAGTTATCTCTTAATAATACGGAGAATCATTTTGCGAATGTTAAAAAACATCTTTCTAAAGATAGTCAAGAGATGGCGTTAAGAGTCAATTTTTCACTCTCTTTATCCTTTTCCTATCGTTTTCTATCCTTTCTTTACGTGTTTCATTTGCGGCACTCTGGAGATGGCGCTGATTTCCCTATTTTTACCATATCTTTATCCTTCTCCCTCATTTGTTTTCCTTGTCTATCCTTTACAAGTCCATGCGTTTTAAAAATGCCCATACCCAATTAACTTTATCGCATCGTTGTCCAAAAATTATTGATTAAAAATTAACAAAATTTACGTTTAATTCTATTCTTACGTTTTTAAATATTAAAAATTATTAGATTCTTCGAATTAATTAACGCCAAAGCGTTAAATATATTAGAATCCCGCGTATCAAATCAAATTTTCTTTAGATACAAATTTTTTGGACAACGTATCGGCAATTTCGTTTCCTTTCTTTCAAAGTTTTAAATGAAACTTTTAAAAAGTCGTGGAATCGTCTTAGGACTTAGGAATTAGGAAGGATTGTAATAAATGAAACGACGTTGGTTTATATTTTTATCGTGTTTTAATAGTAGTCATATTCAAGATCATTGCAAGACTCATTCTTTTCGATTTAATTACGTCTTAGATTATTATAAAACGATTAGAAGCCACGTATTATTTTCCCTTCTTTTTTCACGGATCGTTACACTCCTTAGGTAGGGTTTACGCGTTTCTCTCGATTTTTACTCGGAAAAAAAAAGATTAATTGCGCTTTTACTTTCGTCGATGAGAGAAAGCCAATTCGACGTGATGACGATCGCGCAAAACGAACGATTTCGATTGATGTCGATTGGCTGATTGATATTCGACCGGAAGAGAGAAATGCGAGGGCTCTCAAGTAACAAGAGCAAGTATGAAGGGAGAACGGATCTCAATAATTTTTAAATGCAATTATTTTAACATATAACTCGCGATATAGATAACAAATTTGTTCGTTATAACGTTTCATTTCGTAATTATCAAAGATCGAAGATCATCGATCTTTCTCTCGATCTTTATCTTGTTGACACGTGTCAACGTTGAAATGGGAATGAAACGCGAAAATAAAATCGTTGTAAATTCTATTCTATTCGGTGAAACAGTATCAAACAATTTACAATTTGATGAAAACTCGACGAAAAATGGCAGCGATAAAAAAGTTCGCGATCCTCCTCAGAAATCATGGCGGAATCATGATCGGTAAAATGGCTTTCGTCCCTGTTTCGACAGGTTGTCTCGTTGTAAAAAGAGAGCAATCTTTTCCATTTTGAGTGAAACTTTTCCATTTCAACTTGCACACGTTTACAGTAACGTAATAAAAGGCGTGAACGTATACAGCTCGTCGCTCGAAAGTGTATAAAACTCGATCAGAATCTCTGAAGTTTACGAGAATACTATTACGAATGCATTAAGTCATTCCACGCGTAATATTCTCGATATACATCTTTTAATTGGAAATAAATTGACGAAAATTATTTCGTTAATTATTTCAAATTTCTCCTGTTCCTTCTTGTTATAAAATTTCTGAATATAATTTCGATCGCATCGAACAATCAACACAGAATATTCAATGCATACATACGGAATGACTCAATGACTTGATGACTTTTTTTGTTTCCCTTTTATTCGATCGAAGATTTTTATCCCATCGAAGATTCGCCTTGTCTTTTTTTTTCTTTTTTTTCTTTTTGTAAAAAGGGAAGCACGATGTGTGTTTAATTTAATTATAGATTTAAAGGATCGTTCGATAAGACTTATGTGAGTATTCAGCCCTATCACCGTATTTTTTTAAATCGTATTATAATCTATCGGATAATTTAAGAAGAGATTTCGATAGCGAACCACTAAGCTTACGAGCGTCGCGCGATTAAACTTTAGTTTGGCACTTGCATTCATGAACTTGATTTATTTCTCTTTCGTTTGTTCTATTTATTTATTTATTTATTTATTTTTTTTTTTTTAACTTATAATCACTCGAGGAAATATCCAACTCACTTTTATACTTTCTTACATAATATTCATTCTCACTTTTTTTAATCTCTTTCAACCGGTTCACAATTCTACGTAACTCAGGCCTAGCTTCGTTTATCGTTACGTCGTCGTTTTATAGTCACGATTCGTGTGGATGGCACATCGACTGTCGCGAATTTCCTTTTCTTTTCTTTAAATATTTCTCAAATGTGAATTTAAATTTTGAAATCTCGTCAGAAATCCTAATTTTTTTTTTTTTTTTTTTTTTTTTTCCCTCTATACTACTTCATTCATGGATTCGTGGAATTTTAATAACGTTTTCGACATTAGGGAAGGCAGGCAGAAGAAATAGTAATTACGTTATAGTTGAAGAAATTTCGAAACGTCATTAAAATTAACGATGCTCTCATCGGAGAGAATTAGAAACGGCAGTCGACGTGTTAATAATTTAATATTTAACAAAAAGGATTATATAAAAACTTAATCGGACATAAATATTCGATTTATACGTATTGATCTTGCACGTATAAATTCTACGCATTGCGCTCATTTATATATATATATATTTTTTCGTTTTCATTAATTTTTTTTTCTTTTAACTAATTCCTGGTTTTTTCTTTTTCCTTTTTTTTTTTTTTTTTTAATACTTTTTCTCTTTTTGACTTAATTCATCGAGCTCATAAACGTTCAACGTTTATCGAATTAATGTAATAAACGTGTAAAACGTGTAAATATATATATATATCGTGTACGTCGACAAACCATTGAAGTTTTTACCTAATTAACATCTTAATCGTGTTACATCTTCCGACTAAATCGATCGTGTCATTATTATAATTATTATTATTAGGGTTATCGTTTATTAAATATTAATTATCGTTATTATTATCGTTATCGCTAATTACGTTAGAAATTTGGCGCATTTATTTTATTTTATTTTATTTTATTTTTTTCATTTGGCATTTGTTCATTTCGCAACGATAAATAAATTCGTCCAATTTGAGCCAGACGAGCGCATTGTAATTATATTTTTTTCGTTTTTCGATTCACCACTCATTATATTATTTATTTATTCCTTTTTCTTTTCTCGCGTTTCCTCGAAATTTAATGTCGCGTTGGATTTTTCTCTCGTATCAATGATAATATATATATATATAGAAATATTTAATAATGAAAACGTGAAACGATGAACTTTTTTTTTCTGTTTCTTCCTTTTTTTTTTTTCCTTTTTTTTCAATTTCGTTATCTCGATAATTTTAATTAATTTCGTAACCAGTGCGATTACCGGCAGATTGTTGTACATACAGGGAGCATTTTGTACATAAATATTCCTAGGTACGTAAGCTTGCGTTTTTTTTTTTTTTTCGTTTCATACAAAAAGAGAAGAAACAATCGGAGCAGTGACTTATCCCGTTACAATGTATTGTCCACAAATTATATATTTTATTCTTTCGTTAATTATCGTTAATATTGTAACCGGTGATCCATCGAGGAGAGAACGATGAATTGAACGAGCGAAATTCCATTCGTTCGAAATAGAAAGTTCGCGTTTATATTAATATTGGCAAACGAAATTCTCACTGAAATGATTTTTACCATTGAAATCAAATACGAGATCTTACAACGCTTTTTCGATACAATGTTATCATTTCATTCGACTCTTATTCACCGATCGCTCGTTACATCGACATCCTTGAAAAACTTCAATAACGAACGCAATTATAATTAATTATTTGGAAGAAGGCTCGCGTTTGAGAAGCGAGAATATCCGACGAGATATTCGTCAAGACCTTTGTGCAGCGAATTTCGATTGTTTCGATTTATTTCGAGTTCCATATCCGTGAAATGATATTCATCAACCCGGTGAACTCTTCCAGTTCTTCGATTCACACGCGATCTTCTTCACGGTTACGGAGTTTATCGGAGATGAAAGTGCACGCCTCGAATTATCCCACACTTCGTCCTGGATTCAAGCTTCCTCGACACCTCGATGACTTCCGGTTCATCGGATGGCGGTGCAGGACTGACGCCTGGTCGAAACGAGATATTCGGCTGCTACTGTATGGAACACGTCAATGGATGTGTCAAAGCATGGTCCAGTAGAATTGGTGTCCCCGCAGCCAATTCCGTCCTCGCGTCGCCGAAATCGTCATCGCAGTCGAAATAATTACTCTGGAAAGAAGACGAACGAATGTTACGTGATGCGACGAATAATAATTTTCTCCACTTGTTTATTCATTTTACGAACAAGCGTTTGGAAATAGGAAATTAATTTGAAATACGGAAGAGAGAAAGAATACGAATTGCGTGGAAACTTTTACATAAATTTGAGACAGGATAATTAATTCGAAATTTGAAATAATTATTTTTCGAAGTTTTAATCAAGTTTGCTTGAAGTCGCAACGCATTTTAGCGTTGAAAATTTCTCGACATCCGAATCCCTTTGACGATTAATTTCCGAGATCAAAGCTTTTTGACATTCAATTTCTCAGATCAAAGTTTTTTTCAACGTCGAACCTCTAATGTCAAAGCTTTTTTGTTATCGGCCTCTCAAGGTCGGAGTTATTAAACACACCCCCACCGACAGATACCAAACCGTTTCTCTCCGGCCACCCATTAAAAAGGTCGAAGGTTGGAGGTTGGAAAGTCGGCGGAGCAAAGGAAAATGCTAACCTTGGAAATTCAATGTCGGCCTTGGAAACCTACCCCGATGTGAAAATCCTGTGACCGTAAAGTCGAGAACGAGGCCGCTTTTGTCAGAAACGAGTGATACACGCGAGTGAGAATCGAAAGCCAAAAGTCTCGTTTAATCTTTTCCGTGTACGTTGTTTCGTGGAAAGGAAGATTATTTAACATCGTTGGATCCTCGACGATTCTATATTCGCGCGAACTCGAGTCGTGGAAAAATCTGTTGCTCGATAAAATTTTTAATTAAATTCCGACGATCGTCGACCGCGAGTAGGTCTCGTCTCCAACGCCCAACCATTCGAACCAACCAGCTGATCCGCGGCTGTTCCAAAAAGTAGGGCAAAGAAATATTTACGCGCTTGGCCGAGAAAATGGGCAATCAATGGAAACCGCCCCGCCATAATTGGTATACAGGGGGTTAGACAATTATTCCCGAAATCGAGACAATATCCCTTTAATTTCCAAGATTATTCTCGCCGATTCGAGCTAATTACACGAGACCGTGAATAGATGCAATTACGCCGCTCTATCTTAATCGCGATTACAAAAGGGGAACTGAATTTCTATTTGAAATTTCCCTCGCTCCAAGGATTCATTCGCGAACGATATTTCACGAATAATTAGAAAACAACTTTTTATTAACCGCGAGATATTTCAATACGTGTATTGATTTTTTTTTTTTAAGAAATGTAAAAAAAGAGTTTTCGAGTGTTCTGAAAACTTTTAATTTGCACATTCAATATTATGTGTCATTAACGGTGGTCGTTTTGAATTTGGATTAATTTTCACAATATTGAATGTGTTAAAAAGTTGAACGAAACGAGGGATTGGAAAACGAAGATTTTTACCTGGCAATCGATGCACCGGCAGCTATCGGTCAACGAACAGGTAAGACCGAGGATCTCGGCGGCTTCTTTGTACAGCTCCGCGCTCGATTTCCGTTGCCTTGGAGGTGTCGCGGGCGCGCTGACTGTACCCGATAGTCTTCTACCTCTCTTCAGCCTCGAAGAGGACTCTCGAGACAAGGAGGAGGTCGATGTCGATCCTCTCCGCCGATTGTCGCTTGTAAGTAACGCTCGACCCGCCGGCGAGGCGAACAATTGCAACATATCCATATCCTGGAACCAGATATTAATTAACCCTTTTAATAATCGTACCCTGCAATTAATCACTTTCCACTTTGAAATTATTTATACGCACGAAAGATCTCGTCTCTCGTTAATTTCGTTATCCTTTATTTTACATAACTCGCGCGGCCAATTAATAATAATAATTTGTGGTGAAAATCTTCATCGTTAATTTCGAAAAAAGATCGATCGAAAATTGGTTTTCTCGCGAATATAAAATTATTCGATTAGTATTCGATTAATATTCGGTCCAGGTGTAAAAATAATTCATTAATAACGTTTGTGGTGAAAATCTTCATCGTTAATTTCGAAGAAGGATCAATTAAAAATCGATTTTCCCGCGAATATAAGATTATTCGATTAATATTCGATCCAGGTGTAAAAATAATTCATTAATAAAAGATCGATCGAAAATTGGTTTTCTCGCGAATGTAAGATTATTCGATTAATATTCGGTCCAAGTGTAAAAATAATTCATTAATAAAAGATAAAAGATCGATCGAAAATTGGTTTATTCGCGAATGTAAGATTATTCGATTAATATTCGGTTATTTTGATTCAGAGTGTTAAAAATAATTCATCGAGAAAGCAAATTCGTTGTAATTCCTTGTTGCTCAAATTCCTCGAATTATCGTTTTAATCGCTCCGTTATCGTCGCGTTTAATTACTGCTTTATCAAAATATTCGCGCGAGATATTAAATTATTATCGTACGGACGCGTCTACAAAGAGTCGCTTCAACAAACAACCCTTCCGGAGGGGTTGATTGGCTTTTGTTAAGGGTGTCGGTGGTTGTTTTTTGCGCGTCTGCATCGTTGATACTCGTTAGTCGCAGAGAAGCTCGCCCCGGAAAGGGCATTATTCTCTTAACGAGGTAAGACGTACCGGCGAGTGCTCTTGTCTCGTTCGTTTCGTATCGGCGACGGAGACTCTCTCTCTCTCTTTGAGACTTTTTCACCGCGAGCACGCCCGAGGCGAAAAAAGGATTTTTCTAACGATGCGCGGCATCCAAATGTCCGTGCACCCTTTCTTAGACGGAAAAGACAGAAACGGCCGAAAGGAACTCCCCATCCTTTGGCGCATTGTCAAACGAGAGCGAGACGAGTATTCTTCGCGAGTATTCTCCTCTCTCTTTTAATTCTTTGACACCGCGGATGTTTTCAGGCGATTAATGTCAGATAAAAAATAGGATATCTTCTCTCTCTCTTTTATTCCTTTTATTCTTTTATACGTCACGATAAATTAATTTCGCGAGAGATTCGTGGAATTGTTATTTGAATTTGCCAAATCTTTAATTTGATCTTAAATAGAACGTTAATCGTTGTCGTTCGTGGAAAATCAAGTTCGGTTTCGTGGATATAAAAAGTTATGGCTCGTTTGAACGAAAAAAAAAAAAAAAAAGAAGAAGAGAGAGGAAAAAATGAAAACTTGATTTCGAAACTCAAAGTGGAAAGGTTGGTTCAAGAAAGGGTAACTTAATCCTCGACTCCTGTTCATTCCGTTAATTAGCAAGCCTCAAAAGGGTGCTCGCGTAATTCTTCGCGCTAATTTGCATAATACCGTAACAAGCAACCACGGATTTTACCATGGAAATTAGAAATTACAGCCACTTTAAACCGTTCTGGCCGCTTGATGAAAGGGATCTGTGTGATTTTCCGCGCCGACGAAAAATTCCTCCAAGAACCAACCGCCAACTTTCTCCACCAGTGCACACAAGCGTACCTTTCAAACGAGCCCCAACACACAAGTCTTGACAACACCTTGTCCGAAACTTCTCTTCGTTTGCCTCTCCCCCCCGCCCCCCCTCCTCCCTCCCCGATTGACGCGGTTCATCGAATTTTACGTGGGAGGGCGGCACGCTTAATTATCGGATCATTAAAAAATCCAGCCTCTGGGTTAATTCACGGAACAAACGCGTTTTATTACAAAGGAGGGAGAACTATTTCGCTGGAAGAAAATAATTGGAACTGGATGCCCGACTTACGTGCATGGGAGGAACTCGCACGAAGATTTTCACGCGTCGTGATAATTTGACGTTGATAAGCGACAAAATCCAGCGAAAGCGATGAAAAATATTTTCCAACCAGGGGTTGGGAACGCGGTACGCTCGTTTTATTTCAGAGATATTCCCTTCTCTGAAAAAAATTCAGACGGAGGATGAGAGAGGAGGGGGGCGGAATATAGGATTACGTCGAATTATCGGCGAATGGGAAATCTTTTCGCTGAAAGTTTAAAATTCGCAGACCCAATTCGATATCGTGGTTTTATTAATTTGGCAACGATAAATCGATGGTTAAACTAGCGCGTCGTGGAAAAAAGTAAATTTTCTATATAATAGGAGGAGGGGGAGGTGCTGCTGAATATTGAAAAGGGCGATAATGAAATTGTTAGGAAATCGTGAATCATCCGGACGTTCCCGTAACTTCTTTACCAAGTTTAAACTTGGAAAATGCGTCTCTCGTAAAAGGTGGTCGGAATTTTTAGAGAAGATTGTGCGCGAAGTTAGTTAGAATGCATCGATCGTGCAATTTAAATCTGATCCGATTTTTTGTATTCGCTGTAAAATACATTCAAAGAAGAAAAAGAAGATATATCGAAGTGAAAAAAAAAAAAAAAGGTAAACAAATTTTTGCATCTCTTTCTATCGACGAATACAAAAAATCCGAGCACGGTTCGTAAAACACGGTTTTTGGAATCAAGACGAAAAAGGAAAAGAAAAAAAATAATCGATAACGAATTTGTTAATTATCCAAATGCAAATTCATCCCGACGTTGCATCATTATTAAATCGGATATTGGCGATAATTTGGAAGTGAAACCTTTTCGCGCAATTATTTTATCGCGATGATATTTGCATACGGTATCGAGGCCGGGTCGCGAAATCTCAGCGGAATCGTGGAATCGGAGAGAGGATGGAAAATACACGTGGGTTAAAAGCCTTTTTGCCCCGGGGCCCCAAGCTTTCCAACTATTATTAACCATAAACGTTCAGCGAAAGGGAAGATGCGCTTTTAAAGCTTGGCTCACCGGCGCGGAATCTTCGCTGGAAACGATTCCGCTGTTCCACCAGAAAGAGTTTTAATGCGTTCCCCGCTATTTGCTCGCGAAAGAATCGTAAAAATGATTCGACTCGATCCGCCTCTCGGTTAAGAAGTTTTTCCGTAATTCTTTTGTCAATTGGAAACGTTAAGAAACGTTAACATCGTTGGCCAAGGCAAATTGAGAAATATCGAGATCGCGTATTTAATCGCGTTTACTTTGCACTTGTTTACGCGCCGTGCAATAAACATATAAACGCGTATAAACTCGATTATAATTTCGCGATTGACAGAGGATCGATCAACCTTTATCGTCCCTTGAGCTTTGTAGCACTTGTCACCTCTGGAATGTCGAAGAGTCTTTTTATCCTTCGCGAGGGGATATTAAAAAATTCGAAGTTTTCGATAGATACTTGATCGTGATTCAGCAATTGAGAGGAAATCAATTACAAAGTTTATGATCATCGTATTTATTCCTCGTTCCGTTTCTCTTATCAATCGCGTGAAATGTTTAATAAAAAAGGTTTTATCCTTCGCGTGAAAGAATTGAAAAAAATATTCGAGATTCTTCGAGTCTTGTACGATTAACACTGGAACCGCCTTGTTAATCACTCGTCGATGAAAAGTAATCGAAAAGATTCAAAGTTTCGATCTTTCCTTCTTTTTTATTTTATACATTCTAATATTCGCAAAGATTGTCTCTGCACTTTCACGGGGATAAATCTTGATTAAATGATTTTTGCCAGACGGTGGCCAGAGTTGGCGCAAACTTTGACTTAAGGCCGCTCGTATTTGAAATCCTAACAACGATTCCGGAGGGAAGTTTCTCTTCATCAGGGTGGAAAGAATTCTTCTTTGGCCCGCGGTGCAAAGAGTTAATATTTGGCCGGCTGGTCAAAGTTTAAGTCGTTCCGGGAGACTAACTCACGGGTAGATTTAAGTTTCATGAACGGTGTTGGGGGAGTAGGTTAGAGCGGAACCCTTTGAAAATACAAAGGAAGGGAGAAATGTATGCAAAACTGGCAGTTTTTATTTGTCACCCGGTCAGGGATACCGAAACTTTTGAAACTCGCGAAAATATTCTGGCCAATATTTGTTTTTGTCGTTCCAGAAACTCTTTCTCGAAATCTTAAGTATTCTTAAGATTAAATTTTCCTTCCTTCGAACACCAACATCCCCTATTCATATCGATCGAATCATTTTTTAATTAAAAATTATAACACGAGAGTTTCAGTTAAAACTCTCTGGAAATTACGCACGCATTTCTCTCTTTCTCTCTGATCAATTCATGCAATATCGAAATCTACTTCGCGAATTCTTCTTCGAAAGAAAGAGATTTTCGCATCCCAGTAGTAACATTTGTCGAATTAAAAAAGGAAAGAAAGAAAAAAAAGAAACAGCGTAAAATGTCAGAAGATTGTTTCATGGTCCGAATGGATCCTTTCTCCCATCGAGCAATTGGCCGAATCTTATTCCACCGCGGCTAAAGAAGCCCCCGGAGGAAACGTCGTCCCCAGAATCCACGGACAAAAGAGTGAGTGAGTGGACAGAAAATGGCAAAGGAATCAAATGCCGGGAGATAACAAGCAGAAAGCTGATTCGATGTGGCCGGGCCAGAGTCCACGATATTCCACCGGGAAACGTATCCGCTCTCGTATTTCGTTCCACCGACCTTCCTCCCTCCCTTCCTTCCTTCCTTGCGCCAACTTTCCCTCCAATCCTTCGCCACTGATAAATAGCTCGGCGGAGAAGGGCGAGTTAACAGCGGCTGGGATCCTTTTCCCACGGAAATTCCTTTTTCCATCGCGATATACGCGTTTCGAATCGCGATCGGGCGGGCACACCTTGAAATTCACGAGTCACGTTTGATGGAAATTTCGTGTTCACGCGGAAAATCAGATATTCCCCGATTGAAAGCTATAACGTTACCGTTTCAATCAAGCGGAAGGATCGAGTTACGTGACGTTTAACCGCCATTATGGATCGAATTTTTTCTCGAATGGTTTTTCCTTTTTTCTCTCTCTCTCTCTTTTTTCATTCCATTTCAATCGATGGAAGAAAAGGCGCACGTTTTAACCTTCGATCGGTAATCAAACGTTCCCTTCGTTCTTGATTCGTTCCTTCCTTTCTTGGGAGGGAATTCAGAGGTTTTTAACCATATAGACCCGCAGGATCCGCGAATCCTATCGTTTCTATAACGGTTAGCCAACTGTGCTAAGATGTTTATCAACACGCCTATCCCGGAATGAATTTACTTCCGCCAAGTTTCCAGGCTGCTGCTCTCCGAAAGTTTCTGCACCGTACACCGGTGCACATTGTCAATAGAGTTCCGTGTTTGCGAAAGCCCATCGGTAAATATTTCCATCAATCCACACTCTGTCGATCCTTTTCTTCGTTTTCTTCTTTTTATATATTCGGATCGAGGGAAAAAGTTTCTTGGAAACTTTTTAACGTGGATAGATTTGTACAGGATTATGCCCGATAAATCCATTCGTTCGACATTTTCATTTTGTGTCTCGATATATATTTATCGATATGCATCTTGCTCGTCGAATTGTTCGATTAATTTTTCGATCTAGCTCACTTGTTAACTACAGATTTTCACACAATCGAAACGTATGTGTCGTCCAATTATTGCGTTGTGAATTTTCTTTACAAAAAAAAAAAAAAAAGAAAAAAAGTAAAAGAGTTTTCTTTTGCACGTTAACGTTCGAGTATCGTCAACAATATGCACAGTTGTTTTGGATTTTATTGTGTTTCCTACCATTTTACCATTTGTTTTTTGCACGTATCAAAAATTCGATATACGCCATCATATGGATTTCTTTCTTTGATTCAACGTTAGTACAGTCAAAATCGTGCAAAATTTGAAAACTATGAATATTCGTGAATAACTCTAAAAATTGTATAGGCCAATCGGATGTCGGTCATTTTATAAATATCACGCAAAACTCGTCAAATAACTTCACCAATCTTCCGACGTTTCAATTTTCCTTTCAATTCTTCCCTCTGTTTCTCCCATTGTGAAATATGAGATATATTTTTTTCAGGCCAACTCCGGAATAAATTTATTCACGGTGAAATACGTGAAATATAAACGTAATCCGGATTAAACGACATGGCAAACACTTTATGCTACAAGCTAATTAACGCGAATACGACTGATTGATCGATTCAATACGGAACGGCGAGATGCCGGAAATTCAATGTCTATGTCACCACGGGGATCGAGATCCCACCCCCCTTCCCCGAGATTCCTGCAAATTACATTGAACCTTGTGTACACGGTACACGAAACATCGTGTACACCTATCCGTATACACGGATATAACCAATACACGCGCAAACAGACGAGCTACCACGGTTCTGTACTTAAAGTCCCCGATTTACTTACACCTACTAGCTGCCTTAGTTGGAATATTCTATCCACCGTTTCGAGAAATACGAATAATAATATTTCATATCGTATTTTCGTAGCAATCAATTGGAATATTTCAATCACGTACAAAGTTTGTGCATGGGTTGGAATTTTCTATTCCAACGACGACTAATTGAACGTTCATAAATTTTTTTCAATAAACGGAACGTACGTTGTACGCACGTATTTTCTATTTTTCTACTTTTTCGCTGTTTCACGAAGCACGCTGCTTGCCAAATTCAGCGTTAAGTATCATCATCGAGCGATTGAATGAATGTTAAAATTAAAATATTATCTCGTCGAAATGAGCGATAAACAAGAACGATAAAACAAAGACAAGGGGAGAGGAACATTTTTCTTCCCTCTCTTCTGTCCCCCATCTTTCGCAATCTTGTCGCAAAAAGAGACAATGCCACGATTACGGGCATCGTTTCTACCCTTCTCGCTAATTTCGTGCCTCCTGATAAAGATGTTCCGTCGATTCTTCACCCTGATTGCCCATCCTTGGCATTACCACGATTCTCTCGATGCCCATCTTCGAGTTCCAAGTTCGAAATGTTTCGCGTTATCGTTCGCCATTGAAATTAATTCCTAAGAAGACGTAGAAGTCTCTAGAACGAAACCGAGAATGAAGCGAGGCCAAATCCGGGATACTTTTTAACTCTCATTTGCGCACACGAGGAAACCGCCGCTCGATCCACATCGTTAATTCAACTTGTTAACCTCCCCTCCCCGCCAACCCCTCGCGTCGAGGGAAACCGAAATCGACTGGCGCTAACGAGCAGGCTTCATTTGTTCGACGGCTAATTAACTTAATTCATAAACCGGGCCGTGTTTCGCTCCGAGGATTTCGGTATTTTTCTGTAACCCGGCAGATGTTGCGGATAATTGAGTGGCCTGTTTCGTTCGATGGACAATGATATGCGCACACCGTGCACGATTTAACAGGTGATTAATCTCGAATGGTAAAATGGATCGCGGTGGAATGGAATGGAACGAAACTGTGTGCGCGTGAAACTGACGCGTGTATTTTTTTCTTCTTTCTTTCTTTTTTTTAATGCAGTTATATATCCGCGTAGGAAGTCGGATTAACTAACACGGCCGGTTCGATTAAATAGTTAATTCACTCGATGCGAATGACGTGTGTCACGCATCATCGGATTTCTTATTTTATAGTCGAGCGAAATTTTTTTTTTTTTCCCCCAAGAAATGTATGAAAAATGGTAAAATTTTTTTTTTTTACTATTTCATATCTGGATTTTTCTTTCGTATTCAATTTCAAACAAGCGTTGCCTATGTGAAATTGAAACAGCTATTTTGAATTTCATTGCGCTTTTTCGTATTACTCTTTTTCTGTCTATCAAAAATTTTTATTCGCAATCTGTTTTTTAGCGGCAAATTCAAATGTGTTCGATAGTATTTGTTATTGCTATTAGTTGCAAGTTCGAGTTCTTTCTTTTAAATAAATCATTGCAAAATTACGGGAAGGGAAGAATATTTCTACGTTAATTGACTATACACGTGGAATGTTGAAAAGGTTAATATCTTACTTAACGAGAAGAACAAATTTTGATCGGTTCACTGACGAGGATAATTAAGGCGCTCGCGTCAGTTAGTACCACTCCCGTGAATAGAATATTTCATGCTCTTTCAATTATGGAAACGATATAAATTCCTTCTCTCTTTCTCTCTTTTTCATCGTTAACCGGAACAAAAGGGATAGTTGCAATTTATCCGAAAAGTGGAATGCACGATATATATATATATATTCTCGTTACGTTCCTCTTGCAGTTCACACCTCGTTAATATTACAACCGGTATCGATTCAATTTATTCACGAAATTTACGCGTTCTCGTTGTTTCATCCCAATTGTCGCGAGAAAATTCCCCACCGTTGCGCGAGCGTGCCCGATTATTATTAAATTCGGCTGTTAATCAAAATACGCGGTCCGCGAGTTTTAATTGGAAACAAAGTCGAACGATCCAGGTATCGTCGAATTTAATTAAATTCCCGGCGAATCGTTCGATTTCCCGCTCGTGTTTTCGCGATAAACGTGAATCGAAGATAACGCTTGTTTCTGACTTTTGCGTTTCTATCCGTCCGATTCATCAATCAAACAATTTGTATATAATCTTCGTGAAACTCGAACTATTTCATTTTAACTTCGTAGCTTTGCACGAATTGGAAATTTTATCGTTGGCGCGAAACGTTATAATATAACGCTTGTGAAAAAATTTGTGCGAAAGAACGCAGAACAACGCGAGGAGAAGATCACGATATGATAGATTTGAAGAAAAATTCCTCGTTTTTAAAAATTTTATTTCGCACAAACGTGTGCAAGCTTTAATTACAAGCTATTGATCGAACTCTTAAAGCGAATTCAGCTTGGCAAATCGTAAAAGGGAAACGTGCGTGGCCTACAATTCGTGTAACTATTCGGTTAATTGAAATTATTATTATGCAAGGGATGGGCATTACCTTTGGGGCAATTAATACCGTAAAAGGTTGAATCATTTTGAGGATCGTAGGGAGCTGGGCTGAATTAAATTGCCATTTTACGCAGTCGCTCCAATTTTAAAATTTTCCAAATTAAATTACGCACGGTTTCGAAATTGAAATCCCACTTTTGCCGATCGATCGGCCGATTATTCCACACCTTGGACGCGCATTCCAATTCCACGTCAAAGCGGGTCGGGTCGATCTTTTTCCCCCTCCCCTCCTCTCGTGCGTGTTCAACAACCGTATTAATTTCGAAGCCGTGAAACGCAATTATGATAGCACCGCTTGGCAATCGAGTTGAACGAACGGGCAGAAGGGAGGTCGAAAGGGAGGCGGGTACAAGAACGGCGGCTAACTGGCTTGTTCGAAATCGTACTCACCGGCAGCGATTCAGGAGTGTGGTCCAGTACATATATGTTGTTCGTGTATCCATATAACATCGTGTCCAGATCTGAAATCCAAGGAGCGAGCAGAACATTAAATTGGATCCAAGCATCGGCGACCGCGGAATAGTAACGTTATGCATAGTTAGCCAACTGTGCTACGCCCAATGTTCCAATTACGAGCGAATCTACCTGAAAAGCTTCTTATCAACCGTGTCTCCTCTGTTTCCACGCTGTGCGGAAATAATCGAATAAATGGAACGACCATCGTAAAATTGTTTCGCAGTTTCGCTATTTTCGAACGAAACACCGTATCTAAGATCATCGCGTAGAGTATCGCGTAAGATAAGGATAAAGGTAGGTGGAACGGATTCGATCGATATTTTTCTCTATTTCTTTTTTCTTTTTTATCGCGACGATAATTGGATAAACTTTTTCAAGATAGTCGATTGATTTGAAAGTCGATGGGTTCGTTAATAAGTTGGGTCGTTGCATAACGAAGATAAAAACTAATTTCACGTTTAGAGCGGCCGGTTGGCGCTGCTACACTACTACAACTCCTACGTTAATGCGAATTTTTTTTAAAAACTTTAACGAACTTTCTTCCCTGGGAGAAACCCGCTTAGAAGGCGACTGGGTTTATCGATGGAAACATAATTAGGTGTGGACCACGGGCTTTGATGAAACTTTGTCGCGTACGGACAACGATCGAGCTTGAAAACACCGAGAAAAAAAAAAAGAAGAAATTAATCTCGGGGACGAAATGGAAAAAAAGAGGAAGAAGAAGAAACTCGATTAAGATGCAAAACGTTGAATCGAATACACGATGGACCGTGAAAATAGGATGGAGAAGGATGGAACGTATCGTTATAGGCGGCGACCGGGAACGGAAAAGCCATTCTGTATCAATACTTGGAGAATATACGATCCTAATGCCTCTCAGGGAACACTTGCAAACACCGATATATCACGCGGGATCGAGGAACGAGGGCGATTTATGCGCTGAAATCTCAGACCGTGAGCTCAGGGAACGGAACAATTTTTCAGAATTATTACCCGGGCTATGCGGCTGTCTGTCGATGAACGAGAGCCACTTCGGCCTCGATCGCGATTCATTTCCATGCGAAAGGTCTTTTGTCCCACTCCCACGTTATATTCCGCCACGCACACCAACGCCCAATGAATATTCCGTCCGAGGAATCAATCGGATTCGAAGGCCATCGGGTGGTATATCGCCCGATATTTCGTTCATTGTTCACGCTTAGAAGTCACACTCGATTTTCCATGTGCCGTGTACCGATCGTTCGAAACCATTCTCGATAATTTTACGAACGACCAATACCTGATTTATATATATATATATATATCCCGGATCGAAATTTCGGAATCAGGAGGTTTGATAAAATCGATGAAAAAAGTTTGTCGATTTATTTGACGAATGGTGAACGCAGAATATGAAACGCGTGGCAAATAGGCGATAGGTTTCCATAACGCCTTAATATATTATTCCTACGTATGATCGTGTTAATGATCGTGTATTTTAATGGCATTCCAGCTGTCCGATCGCGTATCGCAGCGTTATCCTACCAACGAAATATCGCAGCGTATAAAATATATCTGGACGAATAAATCTGGTTTATATTTGCGTTGTCCGGCGCGTTCCTATTTCACTCACTTCTATTCAAATGTTATATTATTAACGAATTGTAATTTTTCTCTCAGCAAATGCTAAATACGAATAATAATATATAAATCGTAGGAACACGAGGGCAGTAATAAATATTCACGATATCATTTTTGCATCGTCACAGGAACCATCCATTTGTCCTAGTTTCAGAATGACGTCGTAAGATACGATTAATCAACGATTTTAACGGCGTTCAGAAATTTCCACGCACCACGGTGAATCATGGCGTGAATTTCCATTAATCAAACGCCTCGCGTTTTCGAGGGGGAAAAAAAAGGAAAAGGAAAAGAAGAAAAAAAATACAGAGAAGTCGAATAATAATTTCCACGTTTCACAATTAAACGAGCATTCCCTGTGAAATTTTTCGGCGACGCGGCTCGCGTTACGGGGGACCAATTTCCGGTTAGCTAATTCCAGGCGCAGCTTTTGACCGAGGGCGGCACAATCGAGCCGGAAATAACGAATGAATTTATCCTGGCGACTGTTGTGCGCCATCTCTCCTCCCTCAACGCTCACGTACACACTGTGTACGTAACACTGTTATTACCCATCACCCTTTTTTCTTTCCTCCTTCTACTCTCTGTCTACTCTCTACCCCGCCTCCGATTCTCGTTTCATAACGAATTATCGTTAATTATCGAAATTCACCGCTCCTCGTTTCGATACCATTGATTTCGCTCGATTTCGACTCGTTCGTTATGACATAACGAGAGACGATCAGGTTTCGAATTTTACCGGAAGAGGAGATATTCCGGAAGGAGAAATTCTAATTCCCAATCGGAGTTGATAAGAAACTTGGAAGAAGATCGGAGAACTTGGTTTTGCAGATCGAATGATAATCATCGAGAGCGGAAAAAGTTGGACTCTGTTTGAACTTTGGGATCAAGAGTTGAAGCGATAATCTTCGATCGAATATCGGTCGATCGGAAGAAAGTTGGAAGAAGATTGGAAGATCTTGGGAAAGGAACGATAATCATTGGTTTAGACGAAGTTGAAACGAGATATGATTAGTAAAGAGATGATTGAGAGAGGTGAGAGGGAGTTGTACTCGTTTTTCAAATTTTCAGATCGAATTTAGATCGTTACGTGACGTTCCGAGTGGAATGTTTTTCTTCTCCGGTTCAATCTAATTCGGAGGAACGGCGATAGAAAATGCTTCCAAATGATGCGCGACGATTCACGGATAGATTTTGCTTTGATGGAAAGCGTAACTTGGGGATCGAAAGAGGGGATTTGTGGATCTAGAAAACCAACGTGAACGATCATGGATGCAATAGCATTCGAGTTCAGTCACCGGATAAGGTTGTGCGGCATGCGAATGCATCGCAGGAACTTGGAGCAGTGCTGAGCCAAGCTTGATAAATCTTCCAGTATTACGTGCTAGACGACGAATATATATATATATATATATATATATATATATATATATATATATATATATATAGTAGTACG